CCCCCGGCACCTCTCCCCACCACCCACCTCTGCTCTGGACGCCCCCACGACCGCCCCAGGACTCCCAGGCCGGGCAGCCGCTGACCCCGCCCACAGGCCAGCAGGCCACTAGGCCCTGGACCCCACGCTGCAGACCCCAACCCCTAGACCATGGGACCCCCCTTCCCTGGGGCCTGGGGACCCTCCATCCCCAGATCCCCCTCCGTATGCTCCACAAAAGATTCTTTTCCTCTTCCCTGTGGTCACTGAAGCCCTGCCCAGGGTCACTAGGGTCCCCCTCCCCAGGGGACGAGCCTCCCAGACCAGGACCTCCCCCAGCCTCTGGCCCCTGAGCAGGACCAGGGCCCCTGGGCTCTAGGACACCTGGTCCCTATTACTGGGGCCTGTGGTCACCAGGGTCGCGTCACTGGGATGTGCCCCACCTGGTCACTCGTTCCCATCCCCATCAGTTAGGGAAAACCCCACCTCCGTCACTAAGACCCCCACCGGGTCACTATGGGTCCCCAAAAGGGCCCCGACCCCTGTCATTAGAATCCCCCCATTTCTGGTCACTAGGTCACCCCCACCCAGTTACTGGGACTCTCACCTCTGGTCACCAGGGTCCCCTGGTCACTAGGTCACCCCCATGCAATCATGGGACCCTCCCCTCTGGTCCCTAGGGTCCCCTGGTCACTAGGGCCGGTTGTCAGAAGGCCCTCTGACCCGGTCACTAGCCCCTGTCCTGCGTCGCTGGGCGGGCGGTGGCACTGCGCGGGGTCCCCAGGAGCCCGGGGTCAGCGGCCCTGCCCTGCGCCCTGCCGGCCCTCACCGCGTTGCTGAGGATCTCCTGGCGGCGCGGGGAGGCGCTGGCCAGCACCACGCGCTTGTGCAGCAGCTTCCCGATCACCGGGCACAGCGCCATGGCTCCGCCGGACCCGGGTCCGCGGCCCCGACCCGCCGGCCCCGAGCCACCGCAGCAGAGGAAGCAGCCGCCGAAGCCCCGCCCCGCCCAGGCGAAGCCACGCCCCTCTAGCCACGCCCCCGGCAGGAGCGCCTGACTTCCGCCTCCTCCAGGGACGAAGCCACACCCCCTCGTCGGCCCGCGCCCCTAAGCCACGCCCATGGCCCGCCTACTTCAGACAGGAAGCCCGGTTCGTACTACGCCCATCCTCCGCCACCGCGCGCCCTGGCCCCGAGCCTATCAGAGACGTAGCCGCGCCCCTCACGCCACGCCCCCGGCAAT